GGGCCCAGCTGTGGGGAGGGCCACAGGCGATTGGCTGGCAGCCCCCACCCCTGATTGGGGTTGGGGGGCCAATGGGGGGCAGAGCCAGCCATGGGGAGGGACTGTGGGTGGTGGTCCAGCTAGCCCCGCCCCAAAATGGGGGTGCTGATTGGGTGTCAGCGGCTGGGGGGGGGGGTGCTGTGGGAGGTTGGCCGGCTAGTCCCACCCCCGAATCGGCTGGTTCACTGGCCGCAGTGGGCATGATAGTGACCGGTCGTTCTGGTCATTACGGCGTTCTGATCACTGGCTTTTTATATATATAGATTTTTTTATTGATTTCAGAGAGGAAAGAAGAGAGAGAGAGAGAGAGAGAGAGAGAGAGAGAGAGAGAGAGAGAGAAACATCAATGATGAGAGAGAATCATTGATCGGCTGTCCCTGCACTCCCCACAGTGGGGATCAAGCTCACAACCTGGGCATGTGCCTTGACCAGGAATAAAATCATGACCTCCTGGGTCATAGGTCAACACTCAATCACTGAGCCATGCCTGCTGGGCTGTTTTAAATTTTTAATTTATGAACAAGGGGCCGGCCTTTTCATTTGGCACTGTCCATCGGAAATTATGTTGTAATTCCCGGAGCATTTCATTCAGGATGACAAGTAGGTCAGAATGACAACATGGCTACCAAGCATGCAGTCCTGTGCTGCCGAGAACCACAGAGAAAGTTCTGGAATGTTGAGTCAGCATCCCAGAGGCACCAGGAGCCAGCCATGGCAATCTGATAGAGGCACTCCTGCGGTTAGCAGGGTGCGCTGGCCTAACCTCCCTGCTCTAACTGAGGGTTGCCTAATTTTACTTATGGTTTTTGCAAATGTGCACAACCCTCAGTACGTATATTCTATCTTACTTAGAACAGTTTACCATGTACCTAGTTTTATGGATTCCTCCCAAGTCTCACGACAGAGGTCGATTGAGTTTGCTCTCCTGCCTCTGGGCATGACTGGCTCATGTGTCCTTCCAGCAATGAGAGAGAGCTGCTAAAAAAAAAAAAAAAAAAAAAGCAAATACCAAAGACAGAGCATGGCAACTTACACTGACGCAAACTCGGTATTGGTGGGGAAGTGTTAGGTCGAGCTCCCCGGAACGTGAGGAGAGCTGCTTGACTTCCCAGTCTTTAGTGATAAGATCATGTAGACCTGAATGGCTTATAGTTTTCAGGAGAATGATGAGGCTTTCCCTCAACCGGTGATAGA